AAAACTCATATATCATATGGATGGAATTGAAAAGGTTTTAAGAATCTATAGATCTATCTATAACAATATATTATGAATAGTGTCTAAAAAAATTTATGTAAGATCTTTGAACAAGGCTTTCTGAACTTATATGAAAAGTAATGTAATTAAATGCAATTGCTGCTTACACTTATTATTATGAACTTTATGATGAAATGGATTTTTCCTGTATGAAAAAATTTTCATATATAGGTCCTTTAAGTAAACACAATAACCATGATGCACTATCTCTTATAAGGTTTATATAATGCATTATATAAAGCAAAAAAATTAGATCAAGAACGGAGAAACAGAAAACAGGTTCATAAATAGGACAGACATCAAAAACTGTGGTGGAAAAGTAGAGATTGCAACGTAGATCGAAAATCAAATTAGCATGACCTAAAATGTCAACATGCAAGAGACCTACTCTGAAGGAATAAGAAGACAGGCCTGGGGGATATAATTTTATCCGAAAGGAGGTGTTCAATCCGTATGCTACATAGTAATATGTTAGTGAATCGGGCACACCATTCCAACTACGGTCGACTTAACGTTGTATAAATCAGTCCACCTTCTCGCCAACAAAAAAAAAAAAACAAAAATGTATGATGTGATAGAAACAACTAAACCAAGATCCTCTTAAAAATGTTTTTGAATTATTTAAAATAATAATTACCACAATTGTTCATGATAATTGCAATAAAAACTAAAACACTTGATTTTATTTGATTAAAGTTATCGTTAATTCGATTGTCGATTAAATAAAGTGTAGTCATAGTCAGCAGTCGCAGTATCCTGGGATTCATATATTACTTGAAATACGTGGGGTAAAGACGAGTGTAGAGTTATGGCAACAATAAATATCATTAATTGCACCGCAATAAACCACGCACACTCAGAGAATTTATTAGCTCCTTTTTGTTCAAATAATGGAAACTAATTACGATAGCACAGAACAAATATAATACAAAATTAAGTGAAATTACGATTGAACAACGTCTTATCACATTCAAGATGTGCTTATCACCCCCAAGCACAACGTTCTGTTATGAAAACCAGCAACAAATTTTCAATATGCAGAATCATTTACATATACTAAGGAAGATAAATTTATGAACAGCCGCGACATTCAACAACAGAAGCAACATTATTACTGAAACCACCGACACCGACACCGACACTGGCACCGGGACCGGCACCGTCACCGTCACCGCAGCTCGCTATTTCAGTAACAGCAGCAAAAACCACAGCAACATAACAATAACAACAACAATGAGAAATACAACAATCTTAACATGCATAAATCTTCATAAACGAACTGAGCACACCTAGTACAGAAAAAAGAGGCGCACAGATAATATCGCAACGCATTGTTTGACCGAAAGCATCTCATACTCATCATTGAATTAATATATTTTTTAGCTTATTTTTTGCGACTATTTAACGAGAATAGCTGCGATACCTACGACAATAGGACACGTGCAGACTGCAGTCGGCGGTTTATTACAGAATGGCCTATTACTAGCACTTGGACTGCCGGTGCTAGCAAAAAATTGTTCCATTGTAGGTAAGTTTCATGGTCGAAGCGTCATAGATGCAGCCGCAGCGGAACAAGCACTACAACAAAAACAACTTGCGGACAAACAACACTGATACAACGAAAACAACAACAAATGTATTATAAAATGCTTAAAATATGAAATTGTAAAAAAACGAAGCAGTGAGGAAGAAACCTCTACCGAACAGAACACAGGACAAATGTCCTTTGCTGATAAAGCCTCATAATAAATGTCGACCTTTCGTTTTTCCATTTCTATTATCGTAAACGTTCGCAGCCGCCGCCGCCGCCGTAGCTCCCGCTCATCACACGTATCCATTGGTGAGATGTGAAACGACTGCGGCCGTACATATCCCTTATGTTCCCACTACAGCGGTTCTGTGTTAATGTGGTACTCGTACTCTGGTGCACCGAGCCTTACCTGCAGTACCAGGAAAATCTGTATAAAAATTTATAACAAAATGTGGCCGCATAATAAAAAATAAACAATGAAAATAAAGAAAATAAAGTAAACCTACAACGAAAAGTAGGTGTGTATTTCACTTTAGCATACAATCATGACAAAGGAGCCAAATAAAAAAGGAACAACTACAATAACAACAATAAGAACAATAACAACAATAATAGCAGTACAGCAAAAAGTAGAATTTATGTTATTTCCTTGTTTAAGGATCAGATAAGCTAATAAAAAATATTATAATTACGTATCTGCCTGGGAGGCTTAACACGGACTTCAGCTTGTTTTTTCTGTTTTTTTTTTTATTTTTCTTCGCTCGTTTATTTCTTAACATGCTCCATACTCGTAGGCAAGCAGGAGCGTACATTTACCCACCTATTTACCCATTTGCGTCTGTGGTTTTGACATTTGTGGTATTCAGTTCGGTTCACTTTATGCTCAAGAATCAGAAGGGAAGTGTCTTCTGCTGAAATTAATGCACATAATAATGAACCGTTTAAGTTATGAAGGATCACATAATTTTTAACAATAAAATTTCTTGTTATTTTTTTGACATGGAGGCACATCACATTATGAAGTATAACAATTTTCCACAACATACTCGACTCATAGCGATGTACAAAATTTCATAAAATATTTACTCCGAGTTCATTGGAGGCTGAACAAAATGGTCCCGAAAAATTTCTTTAAGTCTTTAAATAATTTTATTCAAAATATATGTAAAAAAAATGATTGTTCCTTTTTGGATATTAAAGAAACATTAAAGGAGATTTCTAAACCTTACCGTTTATTATGGTGTAATAAAATATTCCATAAAATGTTTTTATATCTGTACATCGGTAGAATAAAAATTTTGCAATCTCTTATAGTGTCTCTTCTGTAGTATAGATAATGTCTCATCATCAAATTAATTTTGCCATTCGCTAATAACTATATTATTATTAAAATTGTTTGTTGAATTGAAAGCAAACATGAAATTAACTTCCTTTTTTTAGTTAAATCAGTATTTTTATTTATAGTCTCCTGCAACTTCAATATATATATTCTAACGATCCGTTTATAACTTTATACCATCTGTATAATTATATTCCGGAAGCTGTATTCAACGAAAACCGCTTTCCACAAAGAAATTGCTTCAAATTTTGGAAGAGGAAAAGTTAAAGAGAACTGGAGAACTGGAGAATACGATGGGTGTTCAAACAATTTGTACTTTCATACATCACATTTCATCATCCTCAAAACACTTCCATGAACCCGTGCTTTGTCTTCATGGAAAATGACGTTTTTCTTCCGTAAGCCGGGTCATTTTTCAATTATTTTTTTATCTAACTGCTTCAAAAGTTTGTTAAATTATTTAGATTTAATAATTTTACCTTTTTCAAGATCCTTTTGTATTTCAGAAAACTATTGTCATAACTTGTTTTTTAGATCTTTCTAACTTCACCTGTTTTGGGGCTGAACAAGCAGTTTTAGTCCACTGTAAGCAACCTTGTTTTAATTTAGGACCATGATGGTAGGTCCAACTCTAATCCATATTTAAAAAACGACGAACAAAATCTGTATCATTGTGCTCAAAACGCTGCAGATTATTCTGAGAAATTTGTTAACGATTCAGTTTTTGTAGAATTGTCAATGAATGCAGCAGCGAAAATTTTCTTTATACGTAATTCTTCTTTTAAAATAAAGACTACTTGTTCCTCTGAACTGCATATGGAACAACAATTTTGCGCTTAGTCACCTTTGGATCAACATCATAGACTTTCTCAATGATTTCTGATGTAGTTACACTTTTCGGATGCCCACTATGTGGTTCATCTTTAACACTTGTACACGCTCACGTCTGAACTCTTAAACACATCGACGCACATTTAGAAATTAAGGAGCAGATTGTTTTAACACATCAACAATTTTTGTATGAATTTCTATTGCTGATAAAGGTTCTAAAAGAAAGGACTTTATCACTACATGGTATTTGGTTTCCATTTCCATTGTGGCAAAAACAGTAAAATCAAATAGAAATAAAAGTGCTTGCGATCAGCGGATCTTAAAATCATATTCAGCGTTAAGCTCGATTAAAACTTATAGCAAATATACTCAGTATAAAGCTCAGAGTGGTTTGTGTCTGTGCTGTAGGGCTTGTGTGCTAACGAATTCTAAGCTTTAAAAGTAGAATATAGAAACTTAACAACTTTTCCAATATATTATAATAATAAACAAAAAAAAATATATAAAAAAAAAAGAAATCCATTCTAAAGATTGCTACCAACAGTTGCAAAGATCGCCTCTAGTAAATCGGACCTAAGCACACCAAATAAGCAAGGTCATAGCAAGAAAAGCGTATACGATCTGAACTCTCACCAGATTTTTCTCTCGGCGATGTTAAGCAAGCTATTCAACAAATGACAGAAAAATTCGAATCTAATACTGCAGACCTGAGTAGTAACTTTGATTCGCAAATAGCTACACTAACATCAAAGAGAGAAATATGCGAACTTAAGGAACAAATAGGCAACGTATCACTGAAACCCAAAGGTTAAATCTAGAAGTCGAACAATTAAGAAACGATAGAGATGAGAACAGGAGAGAAATTGGCAGACTTGTCGAAGGGTCTACTAAAAGATAAGGCAAACACAACTGACGTGGAGGCAATTTTCCGATACAAAATGGATATGACAAATGTTAAATTTCGAGACACGAAATTAATATTTGTGAAGAAAAATAAAGAGGGTATTATTGCAGAATTAGAAACTTCTAAAATGGCAAAGGATGTCTTAAAAAATTTTCTACCATCAACCATTGAGAAGACTAGTCGGATTTCAAGGAAATCGCCCACATTTGCCTGCTATAGTTACTAAAGACGAAAGAGGCGATGGGTTGGAATATAAATCGTTTTATTTTAAATGCTCCTCACTGTGTGGAGGAGCATTTTGACCGGTGTAAACTATTTGACTGGTTACAGTTGATATGAATAATCTACAAAACCTTGATCAAGCGGCACGTCAACGCGTGAAGGTAAAACATACACATCAAAATTCAACTAACCGTACATACCATAGAACATACTTAAATATATATTTCCAGGCAAAGCATATACATCCAGATTACAGACTTTAATGAATTAATGATATTGCTCTATTAGAATTAAAGAACAGATCAAAATATATTTGAAACTCTTACTGTGGATGGTGCCGAGAATCTGCAGGAAGTTAGTTTGTACTGCTTTATAGTATGCTTCACATTTAACATATATTTTTTATTTAAACAAAAATAGATTTACTTAAATCACATCCAAAATATCGGACTGAGAATGAGTGCTTTAAGAATTTCGAAGGTGTTCAGAATTTCTTCAATATTTCAGGATTTCGGTGCATCAGGCGTTGGTCTGGGTAAAAATTTTAATGGAATTAACTACGTTGTTGCCTTGAGTAAAAGTGTAGCGGATGAGGTATATTTTCTTAAGCCTAGTGATGCGAGTAGCTGGGTATTTGAATTTCATTGAAAGTATTGTTTGGTCAAGGAGATAATGAAGAGCCAATAAAAGAAGAAATCGCTCTCAGTTGCGTTTAAAAAATACAGGTTTATTATGATTTTAAATGGACTAATTTTAATAAGTGTTAATTACAAATTTTAAAATATTTAAATAATATTTAACTATTTGGATTTCCTATACTAGATAGTGTGTTTTTTTGTTATTACTATTAAAATAGACATTCGTACATAACTATTGGTTTATATCATTATATTTGCCTTATTATAACTAAATTACTTCCTGCTGAATACGAAGATGATAATTACCTTTTGGCATATCACTACGGAACAGCATTTATTTAATAATTTTATATATGGTTTGTATAAATACAAAAATATGGTATTATAAAAGATACAGTATACATAAAAATATTCCTTGGTTTAATTACACTTTTTAATTTTCGTCAAAAATTGCTTCATTTCAGGTTGTGGACTAATGTATCTTGTTTGTTTAATTTAACCTATCTAATAAATTTAAATATTATCCTGGCACATGCAATGTAGCCATATCTGGGTATGTTTAATTAGTGACGCATACCATCGTTAAAATAAAACATCCTCTCGGACATGGTTTATTAAGCATGTTTTTCGTGTGATAAAACACAATTTCAAGGTTTGTGTTTATTACCACAATTCATCTAAGGCGAATACACGAAACGAACGAATCCTCCGCCCTCGCAAGCAAACTTTTCATAACCATTGCTACTTTTGGTATCTATTTGAACAAATTCGGTATGTTCTGCCATTGTTTCAAGGTATTCCGGCAAGTGACTTACAATTGGAAGGGTGATCTGAACGAGCACACAGCACATGACGCACACCAAACAGCATAGAAATCGTACGAGAAGTAAAAACAGTGTATAGCAAGGATATGCTGAAGTATCCTTGCGCTAAACTAATAATGGCTACTGTCAAAATTTGTTTGACTACGCAATGGTGTAGACTGACGAATGGAGAGCGGATTGACTAAATTGACAAACGGAAGGATAAAACGAATAGAATTCGGACTGATTTCGAAGCAGTTTTGTCATTCTGGGATTTAACTGATAGCTGTATATGAAAGTTTTATGGCAAGCGATGATATATTGTGAAACGTATAAATGAATTCTGCAGCATAAAAATGTTAGCATGGTCTCACATACAGATACACTGCCACATAGGTACGGTAGAAGTACACATATGAATAATGCAAGCATATACTGACACATATATTCGTTATGCACATATATAAATCCACACTGCCGAGATATATCTTCTACACAAACAAGTGGAAAGCCAGTAGAAGTATGTTATTTTTGAGCAAATAAAACTCAAGAGAAGGCAATAAAATTTATCGCCCAACCACAAGTCACAAAATGCTGAACAGGAACGTGACATCAAATGTTGTATTTGAAAATTACATTTGTACACAAGTAAATAGTAACATTTTTATTTATAATACAAGAGCTCCTATGTAAATGGCACAAATTTGTATGTGCACTTATCTTTCAATACAAAACTTTATTGCATATGTTCGATAGATACATTGCGGCGTTTCTTCTACTTCGCAAAAGTTACGAAATGAACTTTTAATATTCCTGATAAATTCAAGCACTGCATTTTCACTGTTAAAAAACATCTTTTATTCGCTTAAATTTACTAAATAAATGGATTGGTTCATTGGGCGATCTATCTATATATAAAAATATCCATCTATGTAGTCACATCTTAAAGCAGGTCTGACATTATGTAAAATAACTAAGCAGATGCATTAGTAAACATAACCTAAATTCTTTTCATGGTTTAGCAATATTCAAAACAGTTATATGATCAGTCAAAAATTTAATTTATTAAAAATATTTAAAAAACTTGTTGTTGCAATTTTACTACTGTTCTTTCAAAACAATAGTCAATTGAAAACAATAGTTTATATTTTGAATATAGTTTCTTTTATAAAATTTGATGATGAAAGCCGAATCCAACTCAAAATAGACCGACATACATGTGGTGCCAACAGATTTTTGGACCACATATTGACTAGAATCATTTAGAGACTAATTGCAGTTATCATATTAATGCATATATTCATTTATCGTTACTAAAATTAAACTACTCGTTACTTTAGTAACTAGTTGTAATTTAATTAAACTTTATAAAATTACTAAAACCTTATAATGCTAAAATTATTGAAAACAAAGATTCAATGGGGCTCTTATTAGAGTGGATCATCCAAGTGGTCATAGAGACTATTGAGTAATAGTGTTTTAGACACTAAATCGGTAAGTTTCAGTGAATTTTTATTCCCATCCTATATATAAGTAATAATTTGGATTGGTTTTAAATGCCTATTGCTTATCACAAAAAATTTCGTATTTATAGAGCATTTCTGAAGCCCACATCGCTTTATGGTATTAAATTATGACTTATTGCTTTAGCATTTTTAATCAAAAGTTTATTCTATGATAACAAATACCTTGTGGTATGTTGCTTATAAAACACTTCACCGTGATCTTAACCCTGCCAGAGTAGTAAAACAAGTGGATATGTATACCATTTAACACTTATATCACTTTCAGACTCATGACATTGCTGCAACAAATAGTAAGCTAGTGGTCGGCCCACCATATAGCATATCTTATGGTACATGTCTACCGACGTTCAAGGAAGAGTTATCAGAACATCTGTCATGTGTATGTACAAGCTTGTTTGGAACCAGTCCAAAAGCTTGTTTTGGATACCTACTTCCTTAACACACTTGGCGATATTTCCAGCACATTGGCCAGACACTCGTATTTATCAAAGTTTCCCGCTGATCATACTTCTAGCCACTATTACGAGGAATTCTGGAATCAAAACGGCTCATTTAGCTAATAAAAGAGGATTTGTTCTCCCTTTCTCCAATTCGCTTAACCTAACTTAAGCATAAACAATTTAGCTATTTTCAAAACTTGAACTATTTACTACATAAAAATCTTGAAGACTATGCTTTATAGTAGTTTGGAAGAGGTCTAATATTTCATGGCAAAATTAATATTTATACATTGGTTTCCTAAACGACGGATACTTGTTTTTGATAGTTTTCAAATAAAAGTTGAAAGCTTCCCGATATCTCAAAAACTG